CTTCTATGTTTATCATTCCCTTTAAAATTTTTTTAATCCCAATTGATTCACATATATAAAGGTTAGACAATAACAACTCCTAAAATAAAAAATATTGTTTTGCCCTGGTCAGTGTTGTTCAGTTGGTTAGCACATCGTCCTGTAACTGAAAGGTGGTGGGTTCTATTCCCAGTCAGGGCATACACCCAGGTTTTGGGTTTGATCCCCAGTCAGGGCTCATGCGGGAAGCAACCGATCAATGTTTCTCACATGTCATATGGATGTCTCTCTCTCTCTCTCTCTCTCTCTCTCTCTCTCTCTTCCTCTTTCTGTTTCTCTCCCTTTCTCTTGTTCTCTCTAAAATCATTAAAAAAAATGTCTTATGAAAAGGAAATCCACAGTAAGCTTAGCTAATGCACTTTCTTTAAACCACAAGGAATATTAATCTTTCTTTGCAAAACCCATCAGCCTCATGATATGCCTGCTATGTCTATACAGCCTTTGGAGAAAGAAATCACTGTCTACAACCTACTTGAAAGACACAGGAGAGAGAGGGCCACAGTCCCCACTTAGCACATGCAAAAAGCACCACAGAAGTATGTCAGTCATTTAAAACTTCAACTAAGATTTCATCTTTACTCAGGGTTACTTAAAGAAAATATTTTTACTTTCATTTTTATACATTGAAAACTATAAGTCCGGAGTATTTTCAGTCTCTGTATGACTATTTTTTTCTTCATATTTATTATAAGATTCTCTTAAAATCTTAAAAGAAATTAGTTAAGTGTGTGTTTTGTAAACACCTAATTTGATCCTGGGTTAATATGCCCTTACATTAAATCAGTCACTTTGGGATTGGAAATTTAACTCATTCAGAGTTCAAGTTTTCAATTTTATAAGTAGTACTATATTGAAACAAAAAGATAAATTCCATATTCCAACAAATTATATCTTGGCATATCTTATACATGGTCATCTTTATGGACTAGATATCATGTAATATGCCTATATAACTCAATAAACCTCATCAACTTCAGCATAAAATTATAATATACAGAAACCTAGACATGAAATGCTGTTAGAAAAGCATAACTACTGAATCCTTTAAAACCTTCCAATGCAATAAAAGCAGTTTAAAGGGTGAAGGTGATGGTTACCAACACACGTAACTGGAACCTGTAGAGAATCAACTGCTTAAGTGAAGACATATGTGTCAAACATAAAATTAACAAGCACAGAGGGAAGACAAAGCTATTAATGTCTGGTATAAAAATTTAAGAATCCATTTGGAAATAGCTTTCATCAGTTCTAAATTACCTAATTCATGCTCTCCCTTAGGGAAAAGTTTGTTTTCTTATAAAGAATTAATTCTGCACCGTTACACTAAAGTTTGAAAATGGATATCAACTATGGATATCAACTATAACAGAGTGAGGCATAGGTCTTTTTCAATATGTATGATTCACTTGACATCAGGAGCAAAAAAGCTTCCTGCTAATGTGTGTGTGTGTGTGTGTGTGTGTGTGTGTGTGTGTAGGATTAAATGTAATGAACAATTTTCTCATGCAGACTACTGCCTTCCTGAAGTACTAGTACCTGTATTTAAACTGAAATCAATTTATTAATTACGTAGCAATCAGTGGTAGAGCTAACAGCATGCAGGCACTTATAGGGAAAAAAACTGACCTCTGGTCAGTGGTAAAAAACCTTTAGGCTATAAGGAGGAGATGCTTTTCATGCATTTCAGCCATTTGGTGTATTGTTGCTGCTTTCATAAAAGCATAGCCACAACTCTGACGAAAATTCCAGATTTCTTAAGTGAACTAAAAAGTACCTTTAAAAAGAAATGATTTCTGTGTGTTGGGTTTTCTGGCATTAAAATAATTTTTAAAAAGCTGTTACCATGGCCCACGAGAATTCCACGCATGGAATGTTAGGGTCATGACAAGCTTAATAAATGCCATAAAGATACTCTGAAAACAACCCAAGATAGACTTATGCATAGTCCTTGCTCTCCATTTAGTAGCCTACACGCAAGGAGTCAGTGGCTAATGAGCTCACTGCATTTTCAAACTGAGCAGGTTCTAGTTGAAATGTTAGGTCTTCAGTTATGATCAGGCTGTTTATAGGGCAGCCCCCGTCCGCGGTCGGTAAACCACGGCTCACGAGCCACATGCGGCTCTTTGGCCCCTTGAGTGTGGCTCTTCCCAAAATACCAACGTGTGGGTGCGCACGTACAGTGTGATTGAAACTTCGTGGCCCATGCGCAGAAGTCAGTATTTTGTGGAAGAGCCGGTATTTTGTGGAACAGAAGCCGGTATTTTGTGGAAGAGCCACACTCAAGGGGCCAAAGAGCCGCATGTGGCTCGCGAGCCGCAGTTTGCCGTCCACTGGATCCCTGAGGACCTAGTTAAAGCCTTGAGTTATATAATTGCTGAGTGTGATTGGTTGATGAACCCAGGGAGATGTTTCCAACTGAGATCTCTTCACCCCACCTAAGAGAATGACTTGATATGGAGAGCAAAACTTTCTTCTGGATTGCCAGTATTACAGCTGCTCAAGGTCCGTGCCTTAAGAGGGAATAAACTCTTAATCCAAGTTGCATTCCCAAGCAAAAGGCTCATCTACAATGGAGCTGGAAGGGAACTGGGCTGTCGACCATGCCTCCAAGGTTTCCAGCAGGTTGTGTAGTAGTTGCAGGTCAAAGTGCTAACTAAACATGGAGATATTTATTTCTCCCAAAGTAGAATGAAAATGATTTTTTTTATCCTCACCTGAGGATATTTTTTCCATTGATTTTAGAAAGAATAGAAGAAAGGGAGGGGGTTGGAGGGAAAGAGAGAAAGAGAGATGCGAGGCATTATCAATTGGTTGTTTCCTGCACAACCAGGGTTGGGATCAAACCTACAACCCAGGTACGTGCCCTTAACTGGGAATTAAGCCTTCGACCTCTCAGTATGTGAATGGACACTCTTAACTAGCCAGGGCAATAGATGTTTTTATTTCATCTCTATCCCTAACCATTTCTCTGTTTCTGACTATCAGTGTTATTATGATGAATTAGAAATTACATCTAATTTTTACTTGCTATAATATTTTTCAAAATAATTTCAGAAGTTTTAAACATAAAAATACCTGAGTGGTCCTTATTTTCAAATTCTTCTTAAGTAAATTTGGGTGTTTTATAAAATTAACTTTTTAATTAAAAAGTCCTTTATGAGCCCTAGCTGGTTTGGGTCAATGCATAGAGCGTCGGCCTGTGAACTGAAAGGGCCCAGGTTCGATTCCAGTCAAGGGCACATGCCGGGTTGTGGGCTCGATCCCCAGTGGGGAACTTGTAAGAGGCAGCCGATCAATGATTCTCTCTCATCATGGATGTTTCTATCTCTCTCTCCCTCTTCCTTCCTCTCTGAAATCAATCAATCAATAAATATACACACACACACACACACATATGTATATATATACACATATATATATTAAAGTCCTTTATAAAAATTTTTGCAAAATTAAATTTTAATGTTTTAATGAAAATTCTGAAACACTAAGGCTTAACCTCTGAAGATGACTACACTAAAGAAAGTACACAAATGGATCCCAAATCATTAACTCGTAGAAAGGAGTATTGCCATTAAAGCTAAGAAATTGTATTTTGTCTTCTGGATGAGTTCCTTTACTTATTTCTCCTCTTTTTTTTTTTTTTAATTTTAGTTGACATACAATATTACATTGGTTTCTGGTGTACAACATAGAGATTAGACATATTTCTCCTCATCGGTTATTAAGAAAGGAGGGCTAAAAGACTAAATATAGACAATGCCTGTGCCCTTCATTCTCTGGTGACAATCACAGAGTTGGAATCCAGTACCTGTAGTAACCAGGCATCACAATGTGGACCCCAGCACTCGGCTGGCAGATAGTTGCGGCATCCTTATCATCCATTTGGCGCACGGCGTCTGTGAAAGGTCCCGTGGCATTGATAACACATTTGGCTCTCACATCAAATTCCTGTCCTGTGGAAGAAAGCAGCATCAATCACACACCCCATTTGTTTCTCTGCTCACGGGTGCTTTGGATTATTAATTCATCTATTAACTCCACCTATGGCAAAGTATATTGTATACCACACGAAGTGACATGAGCAGCCAGAGTTATTGAAAAGCCACACAAAAGGCTCGCACCTGAGTAAATGTTCCAAAACCAAGTCCAAACTGAGGGACTGGGGGGAGAGCATGCCGCTTTTTCATTTCAGCTCTCAGTTATTTTGAAAAATGCCCCGCATCCAAGTGCCAAATGTGAAGAAAATGAGATGAGTAAATAAGCTGCTTTCTCTTTAAAACTCAAATGTGTAAGCAGTGTTGCCGCGAGACAATGTATTTCACATTGCTGGTTTTGTTTAAAGAAAGGATGTAATTTTGAAAGGGTGCCTACATGGCCTTAGACTCAGGACAAGAATGAAAGTCTAACCAAAGTGAAGTGATTGACTCTAACGTGTAAATGCACTGTTTATGTCATGTAAAATGATACTTTGAAACTTGCACGTTTATTTTGTTTCAACATGTTTCTGTAAAGAAAACTAAATGCATTCATAGCTGTGGGGGTTTTGTGGGCATTTATTATTTTCGCATTTTATTATCATTACTATCAGCATCATTATTTGGGGTAAATTGCCAGGTCCCACAAGGGAAAATTTTCACGTTAAACCAGTCACTGTTGACAATAAGGATATAATTAAGATGACTCTGAAATCTGCTTAAGTCAAATCAAAGTGACAGAAAAATTATAATTCAGTCATTATACAGGCAAGGCAAGATGCTAAGAAGAGCTCCCTGCCAGAGCCTTGGCATACCTGTGAGTATGTCCTTGCACCGCGCGCCGCTCACGCGCTCTTTCCCTGTTTGGGGGTCTGTCTTCTTCAGCAAGCTCAGGACCTCCATGTAATTGGCTGTGGCAGCCCCATACCTGGCAGCAGTGAGAGCAATGGCAAGGTTCATCCGTGCGTCGTTGTGTTGTCCTGCAGCAGGGAAAGAGGAGGGACAGGAGTCACCTCGAGCCACAGGCTGGTGGTTCAGAAGTGTGTCACAACAGATATGTCACATCTGTCCCTGTCACCCAGGATATAAATGATGGCTGGTCAGCTCTAGAGGGCAGGATTTAAAAATACACAGTCATTCTCGGTCGGGCATTTACCTGCCACTTCACCAAGCGCACTTTTGTGCCGCGGAAAGGGCGAAAAATACCCTTTCCTGCAGAGCTCAGACCGATTATCTGAAAGTTAAGCAATAAGTAATTATTCTCTCAGTTTGGGGAACATATGTATATGTCAGACTTTTCCTAATACAGACAACCCTTATGCATGAAAGAGAAGCAATTCAAAACTTCAGAATATTTGACACCCCAACTGGTGTTGATTAACAATTTTTATGAGTATGTGCGCTATCTAATATTCAAAATCAAGAGCTTATTCTTCCATACAGAATCTCTGGGTATTCTATAAAAGGATTTTTTTTCTGGGTCTGAATTTTGATCAGAGCTCCTTAACATGTAACTTTTTTTTTTTAATCGCACACATAAAAGGTAAGAAATTAAGCAGGGCAAAATTTAATTACAGAACAATTCCTACCTGTATTGTTAAAGATTTATTGCTGAAAAAATCCTAGTTAAAGAAAACTAAGGGGGAGGAGAAGGGGGAAAGATGATTAATCACTTTAAAATACTGGCATCACTAGAGACTTTTTCTATTTATTATTGCCAGTGGAGTTAACGCTGACCAGGAAGAATTACTCTACATTGCAGGGGCCAGGTTCTCTGTGCCCTGAATAATTAATTACCCAGGGCTAGATGTATTGAAGCAGGGTTCAAATTCCCACACACTGGGATCAGTTCTATCAAGATAATACTGATAAAGGGATGAATTTGTAATGAATATTGTTGTTGATTTATGTTGCCAGCATACCAAACATTTAGTATAAATGGTTTATGTAAAGTTTCTTCCTTGTGATTCAGTCTGTGCAGAGCCAGAAGCACAACACAGGTAATCTGTTCCAGCTAAAAGGGCAAAGTTATAAAGAGAGAATCGATGACTGAGATGCCGCCGCCCCTACCCACAAACATCTTATTCTAAAACCGCCGGACTAATACAATCCGCCAAGAACCTTTCCTTCAAAATGAAATCCTCTTATCAAGTGAAGAGCCCATATTAAACCTTAACATGCAGAATGAAAAGTTATTTTATAAAAAAAAAAAATTAGTAGTAGGAAAGTAGGAGAAAGAAAACAACAGCAGCCTTGGGACCTGAGCTAGAAGTAGGAAGAAGGGTAGCATGTCTATCAATTTCAACTTAGCGTGACCCCGAAGTTGCTATTAGAACAGTCAGTAGGTGTATTTAATGTTTAAGAAACCAACTTTTATTAATGTAGGGCTCCTTACTTAAAATTGGAATATATTCCACAAAGTTAAATGCATACAGAGTCCACAGCAACAAAATAAAAAATCCACTATAGCCCAGCCGGCATAGCTCAGTGGTTGAGGATCGGGCGACCTAGGAACCAGGAGGTCACGGTTGGTTTCCAGGTCAGGGCACAAGCACGGGTTGCGGACTCGATCCCCAGTGTGGGGCATGCAAGAGGCAGCCGATCAATCTCTCTTCCTTTCTCTTTGAAATCAATAAAATAAAATAAAAACTTTAAAAAAATTCTACTATAGATCTTCTCTTTAAAGAAATTATACATCTAAACTAAAGAGAGTGAGTACCCATCCCATCCAATCTTTCTAGTAGATGTATTCACATAACAATGAAACACATCACGGGCAATTCAAAAAGCCCAGGGCCTGTTAGTGCAGTGGGAAACCCTCACCCACCCAGATGCGCCTTGATGTACACACATGGCAGGTCCTGGAAAGCCATGTGTGACTTGGCTATTTTGAATCCTACATGAAGTCACTATTCAAAGGAACCAGACAGAAATCCCATTTATTAAATGACAAATGCCTTTGTAAAATGGTATCTCTATTACACAATCATCTGGTAATAAAACTCTCTAAGTTCTGAAAATACAAAATCTTTCTTTTAATGCCTTTTAAAATATAAAATCTCACTGGATCCGTACTCGTATAGTTCATTATGCTCTGCGGCTTCTATACTAAGAAAAGCCTCCCTAATTAGCTTTCAAATCACAATACTTTTTTTTTAAATCTTTATTATTGAAAGCATTACATATGTCCCCTTGTTTCCCCCATTGTGAGATTTTCTTTTCTAGTGGACCTATCTGATCAGACCGCATGAGGTTTAAGTTCACACTAAGTCCCAATATACTTTTGAAGGTAAACAAGGTCAAACTCAGTTAAAGTGTGAGGGGAAAACAAGTTTCTTTGCTCCTTCTTTTCCTCACCTGCCCTGATACCCAGCAGCACCTGCTTTGACTCGAATCAGGTACATCACTTATTTATGAAGGGCTTCATAGTATGGCCCTCATCTGCCACTTTTCTACTCCCATTATTCTCACTACCTAGGACTATGAAATCATTTGCAAATCCCTAAACATCTGTGTTATTTCACAACTTCTTGCCTTCGCCCACATTCATTCTTCTGGCTGCAGTACCATGGTGGAAGCTCTTGGCAATTCCTATTCATCTTTCATGATCTGGTTCAAGCATCTCCCCATGAAGTCTCCACTTCTCTGCATCCCTCCAAGGCAACGTTGTTTATTTCTTCTTCTGAGTCAACATTATAGCGTGTACATACCTTTTTTATAATCTTTATGATACTACATTCATCCATATATCCATCAGCTTAAAAAACAATAAGCTTTGGCTATGAGTCAGACACTGTGACAAATGCAGGGAACACCCAGTGGTGAGAGAGATACAGGTGTCTCTAGTCTCATAGAACTTACATCACATTGCAATTACTGTATGATTTGCCATGTTCCCTCATTCCAGTTGTGGGAAGTCAGGAAGCTTTACTTGTTCATCTTTCTTTTTTCTTGTTAGTACCAAACACAGAACAGGTATCCAAGAGGTGTTAAGTGTAGACAAAATCCATAAATAAATAAGGTTTATTTATAGCCTTAGATATATAGTCTTAATTTTTTCATAATTATATACAAATTTTATAAAATTGTCTCATCTATATAGATTTACAGTTTTATCTCTAACTATGGAATGCTTTGTCTGGTGTTAAAGAATTTCAGATCTCAATGAGTTGGTTGCAAGAAGTTTTAAGGGGAGCAGGGAAACCCAGAAATGTGTAAAATCTGAACTTAAACCCAAGTGGGATGAAAGGAGAAATGGTTATGTATGACTTATCCCACAAGACTTATCCCACAAGTTTCTCCTTACTCTGCAGGGGAAAAGCAAATCCAGTTATTATAAGCTTCTAGAAACTGACGAATACGTTGAGTTTCCTCTGGGCCCAGGAGCTCACACCTCCACCCAGAAGTTCCCTTCTTTGCAGACATTCAGCTTAATTCATTTCCCTCCTTGGATTCAGGGTAGATCTCCTCCTTACCCACATTCAAGTCAGCCTGTACCCTGAGATACCCAGATGCTTGCAGTGTGTGCTTCCTGGGATAAGTGGTATATCTTCACTCTTCTTAACTAAATTCCTCCTAGCCCCCATTCCTGACATTTTGCAAGGTATCTGCATGCCTCCTGTAATTTCGTTTCTGGAGAAAAAAGTTTTTGACAAACAGTGCATGTCATTGGAATGCGCTACAACAATCTCACCTCCCCCACCCAATTGATCTGCTTATTAAGTTTGGATTTTCCAATCTGTTTCCTCAGAGCCAGGCAACATACTATTCACTAATCAGCGAATAGCTTTACGTTGGCACTTACACAAGCGCCCAGACGGGGACTGTGAAAATCTGTTTCCTACTCTTCTCCTTTTGCACTTGAAATCTTACATATGTGCACATTCTGAACTTGCAGTGCTTCTGAGAGGAAGCACAGAAGAGGTGGAACTATAACTGTTTTCCCTTGTTTAGAAAAACAAAATGTTCAATCAACCCACTGAACAGAATATAGGTCAGTGGTGGTAGAGAAGGATTTTTGTCTTCATCCTCAATGGCCTCGCACACAGGTTAGTGGGAGATATTTGGGGTGGAAAATATTTTAGGATGTAATCATAGGATAGACCTCAAGTATAAATATTTTGGAGACATAGCAATATTGCTCTACTCAGAGGGTTTCAAAGTTTGGCAGCTAAGTTATCATGCAAAACAGTTGGAAAAAGAGAAGTAGTCACTGAAAGTGTAAACGGTATGAAGAATGAGTAAATATGAAAATCCCTAGGTAACAAATTACCTGGCATTTTCCTGGTCCATCGGATCTAAAATTCTACAGTGCTGTGAAATTCTACATACAATCTTATTTTAATACAGCATACTTTAAAATGGGCATGCACAGTGCACAGACCTATCTATATGGACCCAGGAATTTGTACAGAAAGTCTAATTGTTAGAAAAAACAGTCCTTGATTAAAATAACACCTGTCCAAAAATTCATAGGCAATTAAAATTGCCACAAGAAATGTTGAGAACTTTCCCTTCCATCTCCCTGTGCCCTGACCCTGCTTCTGGAAGGGGGAAAAGGATGCATGAAAGAAAGAATACTTCCCCAAAGATTTCATCCCATTTCCAACAAAACGCACAGGGCACGCTTCATTGTCTCAGGCTGACAGTGTCACAGTGACCTCTCGGGCAGCTTCTCCTTAGCAGTCAGACAAAGAAAATTCAAAGGCTAACAACCCACCAAACTCAAGCTGATTTCATATAATCATTATATTTAAAATTTCCTCGTCTAATGGGAAGAGTGCAGATAGAGGCAGAGTAAAAAGGTGTGTGTGTGTGTGTGTGTGTGTGTAAGGAGATGACTAAATTCTGGTTTAAGTACATATGATGAATAAACGTGAAGAGGAAAACAAAATGAGAGCCTATTTCAGAGTAAATTGTGACAACAATGCATTTCCATAAGTAAATTACGGCTAGTGGCCGGGGTGAGGGAAACAGTTCAGCACCTCACAGGACATATTGGTGAGTGGCTCTGGGCTTGGAATGACTGGGTCACACGTTTTGGTACTTCTCTGGGCTTCGGTGTCCTATAAAAGGAGAGGAGTTGGGTGGCCCCTCAGAAAATATACAGAAATGGCTGATCTTCAATAGCTAGCTACTCTTTTCAATACTTCAATTTTTTTTCGTTTCTGGTTTCTCTGACTTTGCCCCCAAGATGTCTAAAAAGAGAATGGGCATTAAAGACCAAAAACAGGTGCTTTATAAAGTAAATCAGAAAAAAAAACAACAACCAGAAATCATGTTCTTACATTAGATATGGAGTTACAATGCAATCGTGGTTTGGTTGGTCTTTATGGGCTATGTAGTACTAGTATATTGCAAAAAGTGCCCCAATTCTTCACCCCTCCTTGCAGCCATGCCCTTTGCCACATGTCTTCACAGCGTCTTCTCCCACTCTGACTCTGGACTCAGCCATGTGAAACGGTTTGGGTCAATGGAATGTCAGTGGATGTGAGGAAAAAAAGAAAAGGGAAGCTCTTCAAATGCTATGAAAAGGACATCCCCAGGCTGACCTGCTGGTACCAGGAGGACAATGAGAGGCATGTGGCAAGTTGCTGCAGTCATTCATTCCAGCCACGGCCGTCCTACACCAGCTAGCAGACCTGAGTGCAAGTTGAGCCGAGAGCAGAAAAATCTCTGTGCCAACCCAAGACAAGATCAGAAGAACCTGACTGCTCCAGTGCATTAGCAGTAAATCCTAATTGTTTTTGTGCTACTGAGGACTAAGGGTTGTTTGTTGTGTGGAATTGTGGCAATAGGTAACTTATACAAGCAATGTAACCATTTTTCTTATATAGTCCCAACTGAACAATGGCTTATAGCCTCAAAATTGCATTATAAGATGGCTATTTAGAACGCAATTCAGCCCTAGCCAGTTTTGTTTGGTAGTTAGAGTGTTGGCCCTCAAACCGAAGAGTTGTGGGTTCAATTCCCATACCTCAGTTGTAGGCTCAATCCCCAGCCCCAGTTTTGCAATGTTTCTCTCTCTGTGTCTCTCCCCTCCCTTCCACTCTCTCTCTCTCTCTTGGGAAAAAAAAAAAAAAAGGGGGGGGGGGGGGGGGGAGACACAAAAACATACTCAGGTGAGGATTAACAACAATCAAAAAAAAAGGACACAATTCATTTTCCTGTAAAAATGCCATAAATAAAACATGGTGAGTTGATTAATTTGTGCCACAAGAGCTATTTAGTGCATATGGTGTTTGAATAAGGGAATCGGTCATTATTCCAAAGCCTCAATGCCCACCACTCCCTCTCACTGACCCTCAATCTCCAGGCTGACCCCAGGGCCCATCCTCAAACACAACTCTGCTCTTTCACACCTCTGGCTTGTTGCTCATGTTGTCCCTACTCCACTGAACATCTTGCCCTACCTCTACACTATCCAACTTTTCATCTTTCCTTCACCAAACCTTCCCTGACTCATATCAGTCACAAGAGCCTTCTCTCCTCTGTGCTTCCATGGCACTTTATAAGCACATTTATTACAGCACAAACTATTTTCTCAACATTTGCATTGAACACTCATTAATTGGGCAAACATGTACTCAATGCTTTTAATGTACCAGGGATTATCCTAGGAACCGGGTTTACAACAGGCACACAAATAGTCACTGCAGACTATTGGATGTTCCTAAAAGAACAGAGAGCACCTTATTAATTTTGTTTTCACAGCACCTACCGTAGCATTTGCTACCTAGTAGATATTCAAATATTTGTTGAACAAATGAATGAATGAGTTAATGGACATGAATATGGAACATAATCACTGGTCAAATAAAGGAAATGTGCTCACGGCTGAGATATTCTAGGAACAGTCCCCAACCCCTCAGTTCTACCCCCACTAAAGACTGTGTTCTCCACGAAACCAAGGGGCTATTGTCTGTCTACCTAGCTACCCAGACAATGGAAGCAGCATGTCTCCTATCACAAAATCTCTGGTGAAAAGAGAAGCAAAAAGAGAAGGCCAGTGATAGAGTTAAGGCAAGCGTGCGGTGTATGATTAGGACAGCAAGTGGCAGATCCCTTTAACAAATATTGACCTAGTACATATTGTGAGCCAGGCACGATGCTAGGCACTAGGAGGGAGAATGGGACTACCCTGGTCTCTGCTCTATGAAACCACATGGGGAAGACATAAAAATCAACCAAAATAAAACAGTAAGATTATTAAAAATTGCAATAATGGCAATAAAGGAGAAATAGGTGGCAGGGGGAGCAACTCCCTGGGCCGGGGCTATATTTTAGGCAGGGCTGTTAGGGAAAGTGGTCAAGATGAGCAAGAAGTAGAGAAAATGCAAAGAAGATAAGTCCTAACAGCAAGACCACTTTCTATCAACTGTAATCACTGCTAATTTTCAATTATATCCAAAGCTTACATGAAGCATAAACTACCAAAAATGTGACTATGGTATTAACACAACTCCATTTGATGAAAAAGTGCTGGGAAAGTGATTTTTTTTTACTCATACTTTACTCACCTATATTTTAAATATACTTATCAGGAATTAAATTTTAAAATCTTCCTGGGTTAATGTACACTATTCCAGGAGATGTCTTCTAGTATAGACTGGTAAAACTCAAAACAAAAGCATAATACTCAAAGTTTATGAATTGGAGTAATTTGCTGTCACTTATCCACACTACAGTTCTCAGGAAGGGGCACGTGTTAGCACTAAGCATGTAATCATTTTTATTATTAAATACAAAGGTACAATTAAATACAGGTACAGGATGTGACCTGCATCATAATTCTGCCCCGCCTTTCTCTTTGCAATATCCTTTTCATTATCCTGGGCCTTTTGTTCCTTCATGCTTCTTTTGTTTCTCCCTAAGTTCTCGGATAAGCTATTTACAATCTAAATAATTAGCAATCAGCGTGGATCTGTGGTCTTTGGCCCCATGCAAACGAAACATTGTGAAGTGCCTTAACATGACATATTTAAGCACATAAAGCTTCTCTTCCCTCACGACTTTCCTTTCTTGAAAAAGTTTTAAATGAATCTAATAAAGAGTAAGTTTTCTACTTTTCAGATACTTAGAAATCAGCTAGAGCTGAACAGATATAAACTGCAAATAACAGAATGTGAACTGCAAACTGCAAACAACAGAATGTCTGGGTTTTCATCAGCTATATCTGTGCAAAAGTGTTCTGTCAGTTTACAATGAAGACCCCTCGCGTCCAATGACTACCCACTCTCTCTCTTAGACCAGTGGTTCTCAACCTTCTGGCCCTTTAAATATAGTTCCTCATGTTGTGACCCAACCATAAAATTATTTCGTTGCTACTTCATAACTGTAATTTTGCTGTTGTTATGAATCGTAATGTAAATATCTGATATGCAGGATGGTCTTAGGCGACCCCTGTGAAAGGGTCGTTCGACTGCCAAAGGGGTTGCGCCCTACAGGTTGAGAACCGCTGCTCTAGACAATTCATTCTCTCTCTAGCGCAAACCAAAAGTAGGCTTTTATACTTTTAAGAAAAAGGGGAAAGGAGCAATGTGACCAAAGCAATTAACTGAAATGAGATGAAAAGTCAGAACGCATGACCCACTAGGGAGACTCTTGCAGACCATTCAACCATGTGGCCTGAAGCCACAGGTCACCCGCCTTGGTTGTTTGTGAAATGCACAAAAGTCCCTGAGAAGCCACCTTAGAATGTCTGGCTTTGAGGGCAAAGGTCTCGCTTTACTGAAAGCTGCAGTCTGGAACACACGGCATCTGAACCCAAGGTGTTCTGCAAATGCTTGAGATTTGTCTCTTTTACAAATAGTTATTAAACGGGCTGGCTCAGCTGCTCTAGGACTCTGCGCTACAAGAGCAAGCTTACAGTCTAACTTGGAAAAGTCATAAGTTCCAAAAAGTCTCCCCACTTCCTAGCACACGTCCTTTCTCTTGCCTCTGCAGTTTTCCTAAAATATCACCAAACACGGTGCTCCAGCCATATCTCTGTCTCCCTCATGTTATAGGAAGATTTGCAAGCTTCTTTCAAAGGACTGTGTGCATAAGTTCAAGTCCCATCCTCAGCCCCTGGGAAACCTCACACTAGTTGCTTTCTCTAAGGTTCTTTCCATTCATCTCTGCAGGGGGAGTAGTAATGGGATTGACATAGGGTTAACATGAGGAATAAGTGAGACAGGCAATGTATGTTACAACCTAACAGTTCTCAACAAATATTAACTATCATTATTAAAATATTTAAAAATTTACTAGAAAGTCAAGACCACTTTACACTGTAATGAAAAGATATAGTTGCCTAAAATATTTTTTAAATGTAACGAACTTTTCCCGAAAAATGTCACAACGATCTCTAATCTGTACACTTCAGGAACACTGCTTGCTCTTTTTGTTTCTTTTTCTCTCTCTTCACCTTTCACCGCTGACAAGCAAGGTATTCCTTTGCGTGCGTCACAAAGGATAAGAAGACTGGAGAACGCTTTTCCATCCAGAGGAAAACAGCGTTGACGTGATAACAGTGTTTCAGAATGTTAGCATCACCAAATCTTAATCGAGGGGACTTCATTTCTCTTTCAGTTTTTACAAAGGAAATCAACACTTGCTATAAATTAGGAAAAGTCAAAAGACTCACATTCTAACCCTTCAAACAATCACTAACTGGATGTGTTTTTGTAATAGATAATTGTCTGGGTTTGGTTTGTTTGGTATTGCTTTCCAGCATCTGACACCCCGCTCCCCCACTTCTCTCTCTCATGCAAGCCTTGAAGACGGCAGTCTACCCCACCCGCAGGAGAAGGAAGGTGCAAGGGAAAACTCAGGCCTCTAACCTGTCACCAGCAATTAGATGCTCTCAGTACAGACATCAACCTAGAGATAGTGACCCAGAGCATGGGATGCGGATGCGGAGACTCCAATCTGACGGTGGGGGCAGAGCAGCAGCAGCAACAGAAATGTCAGCAGTGGTGGCAGAACAAGCCTCGATGTATGGTCATCAGCACTAAAGTCTTCAGTGATGTTCCGTTTCTGGAACAGGATTTTGCCTGTGGCTTTAGTTGCTGCAAAACACTTTTGGTCCCTTATTTTTCAATTGTCTTCAGCGTTCCCGTATTTCTGCCTGTTGTTCAACATCCTCTTAAAAAAACACTTTTCTCCTTACATCAGCCAGATTTATTTTTTTGCCTAAGACGGAAAATCTGGGCAAGACCGGACCTCTGTGCCTCAGTTTCCTCCTTGCTTAAGCCACCGAGTGGAACTTTATCATCACTCAGGATCCTTCGGGCTCTCCCAATTTTATAAGTTGCAATCACAAAATTTCAAATAAACCAACTGAAAACTTAAGAATCTACTTCAAAGTAAACGAAGCCTTTCTGAAAGTAATACACCTTGCATAGAAGGACTGGCAAAAGTGAGTTCTTTCACTTACAAAGGACCCCTTCCAGCCCTCCTCTCCTCATTTGTGTGTGAGTGCATGCACACAACTTTTTACAAACCTGCTGGAATGGCTCAACCTGCCCCAGGGGTGATTCCGAGTGTGAGCTACATAATAAATACATGGAAGCGTGTGCTAAGGACCGGCTGGGGAATTCTAAGTGGGAGCAGCCTTTTGAGAACCTTTATCTGTTTCAGGGCCAGTCCTGAATCTTATCAAATTTCTCTCCCTAATCACGGAAAGATTCCACGCCTTATCAAACTGTTATCGAATCAGCCTGACCAGAGTCCGATGTCCTGATTGTCTGACAGGAATGTGTACTATCACACTGACATGAACATCCAGCTGACTCCCCGCAGCCCAGGGAGAGCGCGGGGCCTGGAGACTCAGCATACCTGAGATGGGGACGCAGCTGCCACAGGCTGACACGCGCTTTACCCTTCAGAGTCTGCTCTTCATCCGCACAGGAGGGTTTACACCAGCTCCTCGGCCCATCTTCTAGACTCAGCCACTGAACTAATCCAAGTACAGCATATGGGGAAGCACTTGTAAACTGGAACCATTGTAAGAATGAAGCTATTATTGCCCGACTGGCATGGCTCAATGGTTGAGCATCAACCTAAGAACCAGATCACACTTTGATTCTCAGACAGGGCATACCCACGATTCCCGGGTGGGGTATGCAGGAGGCAGCCAATCAGTGATTCTCTCTTATCATTGATGTTTCTATCTCTCTGTCCTTCCTCTCTGAAATCAATAAAACAAAAAAATTTTTTTAAAGAATGAAGCTATTATGGTTCATGAAAATTTCCTTCTATTAATTTACCTTCCCTCTCCTTTTGAGACAGACTTTAATCTGTTATCCAAGTCACTAACATTTCTCAGTATCAGAATAATCTCTTAGCCATCAATGTTTACTACGAAACTTTTGGGGGGGGCTTGAAGCTTTAAAAGAGGCAGAAAAGTAAGAATTTAATACTTTTTCAATGCAAAACAAACCTTCAGGCTTACTTCACAAATATATTTTAACTGGTATTGTTTGAAACTACAATAACATCCAATTGCTTCTGCTCAAACTTGATATTTACTAAGCAGAATCCTGAACATAATTTGGTGATTCAAATATGTTTGCCCTAACGGAATTTTTAAACAGCAATCATGAGTCAACTGATCCACATGATGTTTTGTTTTTCATAAAAATTAATAAATCATTTGCAGATGACATGATACTCTACATAGAGAACCCTAAAGATTCCACCAAAAACTAATAGAACTAATAAATGAACAGAAAAGTAACAGGATACAAAATGAATATACAGAAATGGTTGCATTTTTTTTAATCATACATTTATTGATTTCAGAGAGAAGAAGGGAGAGATAGAGAGAGATAGAAACATCAATGATGAGAGAGAATCATTGATTGGCTGCCTCCTGCATGCCCCTTACTTGGGACTGAGCCCACAACCTGGGGCATGTGCCCTGACTGAGAATCAAATGGTGACCTCCTGGTTCATAGGTCAACACTCAACCACTGAGCCACAACCAGCCAGGCTGCTTAAGATTTTTATATATGTTCATAGTTCTCCTAAGAGTATAAGTTTACCTCTGGGCAGAGATTGTGATGGCACATTTTAAGTTATTATCTGAATAATTTTTAGTTCTAAGAGTTTTGGAGCCTAAAACATGGCATACCTATAAACATAATACAATGGACTTTTATTGAGTTATTGCTATGTGAATAAAAGACCGAGACCATAACAGTCTATTTGCCTTAAAAAGAGAGCAAAATTATAATATGTTACGCCATTAAAATATAACTTTAAATACAGCATATTAATCTTCAGCTTCACACACGTCTCCAACTTCCGAGGAGCCCTGCACAAATACGCTTTTGTAAAACAACCTCACAGCACTTTGATGTGGCCGTATGTTCATTAAAAGGAAGTATTACCACTTACATACATAAGGTACATAATGAATTCAGTATGTGTCTAGAGTTGGCTAATGCCATTAAAGCACATGCCAAAAGCACAGACTATAAATCAAAATGCGATTTGTCAAAGTAAGGTCTTAATATGATACAGGTTAGAAATAAATAAATAAACCAATAACGTTCTGAGATGGGATTAGTGAGGAGAGAGCTAAGCCCAAACTGAGACCAGGTTGCAACTGACATCCCTTTGTTCTATCTATAGCTTTGGCTACTCCTCTTTCTCTTGCACCTGGATAAGTACAAAATTAGCATGCACCAGCCATCCTTCACTCCCCCAAGGATTTATATCTCTAATGCCATTTTAAAGACTGATATTCTTTCCAAAATGTTGACATAAACCAGTTGGGCAATTACAGATTTTTTTAAAGCCCACATTACTAAAGTTTATAAAAATCTAGATTATTCTTTTTTTTAAAAAAGTGTGGAAAACACTTAACATTAACTTATTAATTCACTTCCAAATTGAGGAAGATTTAACAGCGGACTAGAAAAAGCAGACAGAAAAATAAAAAGGCTAAGCTAACTATCAAAAAATAAGAAAATCTAGTCAGTGGACACTGGAGTTGTCCAGGAAACGTGAGTAATGAGAGGATACTGCTCCGTGTCATACCTTCCTTTTTCCAGTGCCGTTACCTCTCTTTCCGGCTGGGCTCTTTCAAATTAGCATTAAATCTCATCCAAAACACTTCCTACTAGTCACCCAAATATGTTCCCTAGGTTCTGAGTTCCCTGTATTAAATGCTGTTTTCATTCACTGGATGCCCACTGCCTACAGAGTTCAAAATAAACTCTTTATAGTGTGGCATGGCTGACCCTCAATAATCCGGGTCCTGTTTGCTATTCCCACCTCTCCACCCCCTCTGCTCAAGATCTATCTATAACTGCTTCTATGTTCCCTGTGCCTGCTTGCCTCTGGCCACAATGTTCCTTTCCACATTCTCTCCAATGACTCCACCTGGCTGTCCTATTCATTCAGCAAAGTATTACATACTTAGGAAGCTTTTCTAGGTGTGTGCCTCTCACAGAACTCCCACCGTTACTGAAAGTCATTGGTCTGCTTTATGACTCAAATAACTTTTTGAGGAAAGGTAACATTATATTAGTCTGTGCATCTCCAAGACAGATCACATGAACTGTATGCACGGTGCTAATATATGGTACTGAAGAGATAAACAAATAAATAAAATTGCTAGTTATATTTTTTTGAAAACTAAGAATATTATCCCATCTAGAAAGATATGAAACTACAAATTAATTCATCTTGCTATGCAAAGTGTTGCTTCCTTTATAATCATTCCAAATTTTCCAAGACTAATACATAAAGGTCAATCTTGAAGAAGAATTGAGTACAGAGCTATAGAAAATAAACCCTTAGAAAGTACTAACATTCGTATTTAGAGTCTGCACAATCGAGGCAATATATAACCTATGCCTAGACCCCTAGTAGGCACACTTCAACGCAGAAGTAATGCATGTCAATGTTTAGTCAACTTCCTCCCAAGAATCATACAACAGGAAATTCAGCAGTGTTTACATCCCGGGACTTTTCACAAGCTTTGGGAGGGTAGATTTAACAAAACCAACACCGGGGTTAAGATCCACACCTGAGTTCCTGCTGACAGAATCAGCCTCATTAATGGACTAAAAGACTGGAAGGTGAAACACAGGCCGGGAGAGAAGCCCTGTAGTTTGCGGAGCAGCAACTTCAGCAAAAATATGAAACTAAAATGCAATTCCTGCTTTCAAACCATTCTCCAACCTTCCTTCAGATCTCACACCTCCTGAGCTGATGGGGAAAAATAAGACTGCTCAGCCTTTCCCTACTCCCTTTTCAGAGATTAAGCCAATCTATGCAGGCAGAGACCATCAGGATCTAGCCAAGGGCTCCTCAATGCTACAATGGCTGCTGCTTCTTCAACCCTGGGAAACATCCCTTCCAGTAGAGGCAGAGGATCCATTTAAAGATCAGAGGTGGCAATCCCCGCCCCCCGACCCCACCCCTAGGCTGACTGTAGGTGTCCCGCACTGAAGGAGCTGCTCTAGCACACAGACTCCAAACTGACACAAGATGCTACAGCTCCTTCTCATCATGAGCATGGAAAACTTTATGGCAACTTGCTTTAATGTGGGTCTGTCCAATACTAGAAAAGGCATGATTTGTATATCAAATACAGGTGGTAGAGTGGAAATCAGAGATTGTTTTCCCCAAGCTGTCTATTACTCACTAGCCTTGTTTTGTTGGTTATGCTCAACTAGTAACTGCTGTTGCAGCCAGCAGAATCCTATATAATAAAGATGTAATATGCAAATGGTTGTTATGACAAGAAGCGAAATGACCAACCGCGTAAGGACTGGATCACAGATCAGCAGGAGGGTGGGGCAGCGGGTGGAGAGCTACTGGCGCATAGATTCATGCTTAGGGCTACTAGTAATAAGAGAGTTGATAGGGTCAGGCCCTCTGGTGTCTCTAGAATTTCAAGTTCAGTATCTGTGGAAAATGGCTAAAATGCCAAAATTCGAAGAGAATTAAGAAAGGAAAATAGTCTGCAGTTTGTAGCTCAAATAATACATGAATTGAGGGAAGGGTACTTACTCCAAATCTGATCTAGAGGAGCAGAGGCAGAGGAGGGGGAAGTTCGGTCATAGACAACCACCCAGCACACAGAAGGCCCTCAACAACACTTAGAGGCAGTCAAGGGCTTGCAGAATAGAGATACTTACTAGTAATAACCAATAGGGGAGAAGCTAAGTTTCAGACAAATGTTGTCTAATTCAAATGTATGGGGTGAGTTACTTCTATTCAGATTTGAGGTGGGGTGGGGAAAAGAGATGGTCAGATGTAACAAATTTAAAAAATTAATCTTTAGTGGATGAGGTATTTAATTGTTTCTAGGTATTTATATACTTCAAATATTTAAAATTGTATGTTTGTTTCATTATGTTTATGTTAATCATGTTTATGCTTACCTTCTTTTAAATAGGGTTTTTTGCTACCTAAATAAAAAAATATATATACTTGAATGGAGAAATACGTTTTTCTCTCTATTCATACTTAGGATCATGAAGGTGATTCATAAGGATCATGAAAACACCAGTTTTACCCAAAAATGTGAAAAAGAAATGTACAAGTAGAAGACAGAGGAAAAATGTAAAAATATATATTAATCTTACTTTACACAATACTTTTTTCTTGTTACTAGCATATACTGTTGTGTGTGTGTGTTTAATGCTGCTTGAAGAGACAACTGCTAAAAAAGAAAATCTGAATTTATTTCATTCCCTTAAGGGGGTGATAGTGAATTTATCCAATTTGTAAATCCTTGTAATGATCATGTATTTGTACCCCTTCTTCTACCAAAACAGCTTGAGGTAGCTACTGAGGCAAAGGCGTTGCACAGAGAAAATTATCGAAAGAGAAAGAGCAGCCTTGGGAGCCTCGTCTCAGCGCGCTTTCAGCCAGGCTTTGTCCTCTGTGAGGGGAAGTGATACTGCATGAATCGCACGTCCATTCACTGCTGCATCCATCAGGTTAAAGTTAGAAGGATCTACAACTCCTGGGAATATGGAGCTTCTGGTTTACCGAGAGCCTTTGATGCTACCTATCCCTAGTTAATTCGGAGTAATATATTAATCATTACTGACATAAAGTACAAGTTATTTGATTTTGCTCTTAATCTGATGGTTGTTC